TCACAGTGAAATAAATTGGGGAGGAAAGTAAATGAACAAAACAGCTCAATTAAAGGCAGAAATCTTCAGAATGAATTAAAATGACTTAACTACATACTGCTTACCAGAAACATACGGCCGTATATACTGATAGACTGAAAGTCAATGGCAAATCCCTGTAAGAAGTCTGGTGTGTATGTATTAATAGCAGACATACCAAACCTAAAGCATTGTGAAAGAAGATGATGTCGGTTCCTCAAAGTGTACGTATGCCTCACAACTGAGCTCCAGTATACACAGTGCAAAACTGACAGAAATGAAAGGGGAAAGAGACAAATTCACAGGCATACTTGGAGATTTTAGTACCTCTCAATCAATTGATAAATCAGGAGAAAACAGTAAGCATGTAAAAGAGTTGAACACTTAACTGAGTTGATCTAATTGGCATCTTGGGGAAAGGTTATCCATTCCCCTTTACAGAGACCGTGGCTTAGTCTCTTCCTATCTCTTGCATATCTTTATTGAGCTTTGCTTAATAACAACATACTAAAAGTATCTCATATCTAAAAAGGAAAGTCATCCCGTTCAAATCACCGTGCTACCACGCAGTCGCTTCCTCACGCATTTTGCAGATTCCTGTTGAGTACCCACTCTGCCCTGTGTTGTTGCTAGCTTTGGAGGAGAGCAGTTACCACACAGACGCAATCTTAGCCTTATGCACTTCCCCACTCACGGGAGAGGCAGTCAACCACAGGTTCTGTGGGTGATGTTGTTCAGCCGTGGAAAGTGGTCTGTTGTGGTCCAAGAACAACTGCTGCTTTGGGACTTATGTAAGCAGATGCTGACTTGTGTCAAGTTCCAGAAAATGGGTTAAAGATGGCAAGAGAAACGGGAAGAGTGTTCTAGCCCAGGAAGCTGTGAGGGTGAAGACCTGCTGTGGAAAAGTTAGACCAGGTTGGCTACAAGAGAGGACAACATAGGACTGTAGTAAGTTGTCCTGTCCCACACCCAAGATCCCTGGGGATTCGTTACAGGGTTTAGAGCAAGGACAGGTCATAGGTGAGCATTGTTAAAAGGTCCTATGGAGGATAACATTAAAGCTAGAGAAATGCTTCTGTAAATTGGAATAAAGAGAAGTCAACCTTTTTATGTTTTTGCTTTTAATCTGAAGTTTATATAGAGTATGTGCCTTTTCTGATCTCAAACCTTCGGTGCAGTAGGTAAACACTCTTATCAGTCCTTTGGAATTACTTATTTCATGAATTTCTACTTAGTTTATTACTATGTGTCAAGAGTAGATAGTACTAATCACTGAATCAACGAGTAGTATTCACCTCATTGTTAAAATAAATACTGCTTTTCATTTCTGTGCTGGTATTTGAGGTGTGAGTCTACATCTCTTCTGAAATTTAAATGTAATTTAGGAGATGGGCTATATAGCTCAGTGATATAGCACTTAGGCAGTATATGCACAAGTCCATCCCACCACAGACAAATGAGTTCATGTATTCAGTAGTTATCAAATTATAGAATGCCTTTTAATCAATGAGTAAATGAATTGTAGTATTTACTACCATATTACTATACAGTTGAATTTTAAAGTAAATTCTTTTTTCCGATTAATGTAATTTGTAATTTCAAAACTTACATATATCTGTTTCTAAATAGAAATTTTTCTTCCTGCTGATTGTTTTTGCAAATATTTGGTGATGTTTAAATATTTAGGGGCATTTATTTGTTTTAGGGGCCTCCTTATTTAAGGGAATGCAAACTTACGGTTTTCAGCAATGTAAAGATGTTTTTAAATTTATAACCTCTGGTATGAATCTTAAACACTGTTAACATTAGGGTTTTTAAAACTGGGAAACATCTGTATTTTAACTCTTTCATGGCTTCTGATTTATTAACATGTAGACCCTGTAGGGCACCAGTCACTGTGTGGTTTCTACATGTGTGTAAGACAGAAAATAATGCCCCAGTTGTATGGATCTGTGTCTTAGAAACTATCTTCAGCAATTATAACAAAATAAAAATTAGGATATTATAGGGTGGAGACTTGCTTATTTTTCCAGTTAATATTTAGATTGCAAGTAAGCATGAAGGAAACTACTTAGACCATTGCATGTGGCTTAGATATAACCAGTGAAAGTCCGCTGAACCCTCCAGGCGTGCACACCATTATGAACTCGATTATTTTTTTCTTCATGCCCTTTTTCTTTTAAAGATAGAGATGCTGAGAGATAGCAGTAACTATAATTACCACACTGAAATAAGTGACAGAACAGAATCCAAATTTTTTTATCCTTGAGCTATTGCTTGATTTGAAATACTTGGCTCTGTTTTGAATGGTGGTAATTGTTAAGTCTGGTTTATTAACAAATTGGAGCCCAGAGAAAAGACAACCATTTAACACTTTTATTGTTGCTGTCTCTGGTGTCTGCCAGTGATTGTCCTCCTTAGGGAGTGTGGGTTGGTGGGAAGCCAGACACATAATGAACAATTGTGCATCAATCAAGGAATCAGTGAAGCAGCTCCTCCTCTCTCTACTTTTCCGAGAATGTTTAGCTACTTTGTAGCCTTGGAACATGTGACTCTCACGCTCAGAACTTGCAGGAAGAGGTTCACTTGGGATCACAGTTTAGTGGATGTGGTCCAGGGTGGCCTGGCAGAAATGGCAGGATGGAAGTCTGACAGGACAGCTGCTCACCAGTGGCAGCCAGGAAGCAGAGAGCAAAGAGAGGAGCTGGGGTCAAGAAGGCACGCAGGTCACACCCCCACGACCCACCTCCTCCAACCAGACCCCGCTTCCTAACAACACAGAGCTGTGAACTCATCAGTAGATCAGCCCGTCACTGAAGGTAGTGCACCCAAGATCTAGTCACCTTCCGACAGCCCCACTTCTGAACAGACTCCCAGGGACATTTTAGATCTAAACCACAGCAGTTTGTAAGTGGCCTGGGGACAAACTGTACCCCAGGAGTTTGTCAGCTGCTTGCGGGAGTTTTTCTGTCACGTGACATAGGTGTTTCGCGTGGGGAGAAGGCGGTGCGCGGAAAATGGAAGTTGGCGCGTGATGAAAGCCGCGATGGTTGTGCACACAGGATGCTCACCTGGCTGGGAGTTCTCGCGCTCATGCGGCTGCTGAGCTAAACCGCGTCGAGGACCACGTCTGGTTCCTTTGTACCTGAAATGCACCTTTGCTGCTGCTTTTTTTTTTTTTTTTTTTT